TATATATCTCTTTAACTAGGGTCATCTACATATGTAGTCACCCCGATGCAACGGCTTACACAGGGCTTGCTACAATCTCAGGGGATAGTTGGCTATGGGGTAGGTGGCCGGGAAAGTAAGCAGATCGAAAGGTTCCTTAACGAACACTGCACGCCTATCCATCATAGCTGCTACAGCTACATGGGGTAATTTATGGGCAAGCAGACCGGTTCGCGGTCTGACAACTTGTCAATTGACCACGTCATAAACAAGTCTGGTCTTGTATCCCTTATTATGAATTAATCAGACGACTAACGTAGGGGAAGCCTGTCACCAATTTTTATCTGGTATGTTACCACGTACCAGGCAGTTAAAATACAGCTGCTGACCAGTTATCTAATCTTCAGTTTCAGGTGTTCAGGAGGTCCCTAACAACTACCTCACTGATAGCCACGATTGCTCCGCAGCTCCTGGAATACCTATGGAATCGAAGAGTTGCTAAGTCACAGCAGGAATTCACACAGTTGGCCCTCAAAGAATATGCACACTGCTATGCCAGAGCTTACTGCATATATCAAAGTTCAGGTCAGATCACCACCTTACAAACTAGATCAAGAATACACGTTGGGGGCTTTCGCCACTTTTCCCACATTAAAAATAAATGTCACACAACTCTATTAAGTTATAGCTCCCGGGCACTCAACACCACATGTTCTCAGTTACAAACACCATTCTCAAAGCCACCATATACTTGGCTTTTATGGTTTCCCACGACCAGAGAATTTACCATCACAGGGCAACACAATTCCAAGCTTTGCCTATGGTATTCTAACTTGTACAAATACAGGATCACTACGTATTAACTTACCATCAACTAAGACCAGCCAGAGGGGTCACAAGGTACTTATTCAGTAATACCCCACCAAAAAAAACGCATACCTCAGCCAACACAGGAATTAAGGTATGCATTTGTGATATGTCATTGTAAATACCACATTTTTATCTAACTCCCACTACATAATCCTCATTTTAATTATGTATCTATACCACTATGTTCATATTTGCCCACTCAATTGAATTACATTGATTATATTCCAATTATTATGTCACGTTACGTTTCCTCAATATGTGAGCTGATCACTGATCAAAAGCACTTCCACACATTTGTTGCATTACGTTACTAAATACATTTCGGATGTCCAAACCTACACTGCCACCTACAGGTCATTCTACATAATAGCATAAGGGTTTTCTATATACACTGACCCCTACAGGTCATAGAAGCAATTCAAGTATCATTACATACTAATCCTGACACTAAGGTCATACTCTATTACATACGTCACGAGAACAATTTCTTATAACACACTACAAACGGGCTACATGGCACGATTAGTCATTGTTAGTCATTGTTTATTAGGTCATACAGGCATATTCCAACTGCACTGTGAATGTTACATGGTATGCCCAACTTTTCTATTTTGATTATTGGGTTGATTGTCTATGCGTATATACTTAGATCATGATCAAATCACATATCATGAACATATGGCATACATACATCATCATATTACAGGACGGTACAAACAATGAACCTACAAATTAACAAATGATAAATTACGAACACATATTTAGGTAATAAATAGCCAATCATTACAGTTAAAATACCACATAACATAGTTATAGTTGAACTCTCGGATATCCTACAAACATCAACCCCACTGATCTCTCCAGGGCGAACAGATAAACATTAATAAGAATGATTCATGCATTGTATTTATTTTCATACGGTTTCCATCTATTTAGTTACAGGTATCTACTGCCACCTAAACGGATTGTCTAAAATTCTTTAATTATACTTCCAGGTACGTACACCTGCTCACAGTATATCCAAATATGATCCCCAAATAATAGATAAGTACTGGCAGATAGTGTCATAGGGGCCAATAGCTGTTATATCTCCTTCTCTGCATTATGATTCGGATTAGCGGTCCCGCGAGGCCAATAAACCCGCCTCATACTCGGAGGCATACACCCCTCGAGCCACTCGTGAGCGAGTCGCCTCGCAAGTTTCATAGAGAGGGCCTCACCAGTCACTCCTTTTCCTTTTTCTTAGTAATCTCACCGAGAGGCCATCATCCTGCCACTACGATCGGTGGCCACAAAAAATTCCATCGCACCAACGCATAGATAGAGCCTCTCAAGCCACTTGGCACTAGCATAAGCATAATCGTTTCGCCTTACGGCATAGCTAGCAAGCCAGTACTAAAACACCTGGTTCAAATAATAATTTTACTTTTTATTTTAGTTAAACATGTCTCATGCAAGTGGTGAGGAGCTATCGCTTCCTAGTACCCCAGCTAGGGGCGAGACACCTTCTCACAGGGGAGATATGGCCAGTCCAGCGTCAATCAGATCCTGGACAATACCGCGCATTACAACAGAGTTAAGGAGACGTCAAATTCCCTGCCCTGCTACAGCAAGGAAAGTGGAGTTATTTAAACTCCTAAACACGACAACAAACAATACGGAAGCAGGAGAAGGCCCCAGCACCACCAATCTGGGGGACATCCAGGCTACGCTGGCCT